ATGAGTGACATTTTCAAAAGTCGTTAACATTTTATGTTTTTTCTTTAAGTGTCTGAGTCGAGAGTTAGAATCTTTCAAAATGTTTAAAAAATAAATTAAAGATGGGTTTTTTTTTTTATCCATGTTGACAGTATGTTATAATTTGGGCATATGATCCCGACAGAGTTATGAATTATTGATAATTGGAAAAACATCTTGGAAAAAAAAATCCGACAATGCATTTCGCCGATATATATATATATATATATTGTTTATTGTGTGATATTTATGGAGAAAGAGCTCTCAATATTTGTCTCAATATTGCCACATATGTCGTTGTTAACTCTTTCGAATTAATATTGGAACGCAGTGGTATGATGCTTGCGTTGTATCGTAACGGTCCGGGTTCGATCCTCGGTAGTGGATGTCCACTATTGGTGAGTCTCAAACAGGATGAAACGGCCATGTAGTTCTTTTTCTCGTGAATTATTGTTCTACACTCGATTAATTTTTATGAGAAATTATAAAAATCTCCAAAATTTTCTATAACTTATAAAGCTATGCTTAATCCAGCTTCTAAAACGCTTAATGATGCGGCTTGGTGAAGGAAGTTGTTCTTGAGGGCCAGTTCCGGTGGATTTAGTAAGCATGGATAAGTAACTTTCCTAATTCCTTTCATATTCTGTTGGTTCAACGGAAATCCTTCTCAGCTTCTGTACGAGAATTAGTAGTAGCTGCGCTATATTCAATCTAGTTAAATTCCTTTTCATCGCCGAAACCCAATGGCGCAGTGGTATGATGATTGCGTTATATCGTAACAGTCCGGGTTTCATTCTTGGACGCGCACTGCTGATGAGAAGCAAAAGTGTGAAACTGCCCTCCAGTTCTTTCTGCTGAGGATTCTTGTTGGAGATTCGATGAATTATTATCACTTTTAAACCTATGCCTGATCCAACTACTAATGTTTGGTAAATAAAGACGGTAATGGTATTAATCCAAACATACATAACCCATCGACCCCAAGAAAAATCCACTGTTTAAATTTTTTTCTGTTTCGTTCTTAGTTTTGTAAAATTTGGTGACTTCTTTGCTGACTAGTTTTAATAGTAATTTTTGATCTTCATTTGATAGATTATCCTGGATTTATCTGCTTTTATAAATATTTTTGAAATCTTTATCATTTTTAAATCGTTTTCTAGTATATTTTGGAAATTATTGCTGAATTTTATTATTTGAAAATTATTGATTATACTTCTTAATTCATTTTCAAAAGCAATGATGTCGTTTTTTTTGTGGTGTGTATTTCATTGATGTAAATCCAATTTTGTTAATATTATTAGCATTATCGTTGATGTTGTCGTTGTCACAAATGTCTTTGTTGAAGAAAAAGAATATTTTCATTCTTATGTGTTTCATATTGTTAGTTTAACGTAATCATGTTTAACGTAATCATGTAGGTTTCATGTTGCTATATTTTTAAAGGAGTAGGTAAATTGTGTGGATTTTATTTTGATATTAGATAGTTTGTTTTTTTTTGATAAAATATAATAGCAGATTTGGATGCTGAGAAAAATGATCAAACAAAAATTCTGCAAAAGTGCTCAACTTAGTATAACTTTTTCAGGAGCTACAATAATAGTAATATCAAAGATAGCATGAAGCCAAAAAACGCAGACAGTCTATGGGGTATTGTGAAAAGTCATTTAAGGCAAACAATATGTTCAATAAATTGCCCAATATTAAAGATAAAGCATTAAGTAGGTTTAATCAAAGTAAAATACTCTCACTATATATTTAAATATATATTTATGTTTAGGCAACATATCGTCATTCAAGCATGTTTGGCTGAATAATCTGGGCATATTATGTCTATTTATTTTGATCTTAATCCTCTCGAATTCTCGAATCAACTTCTTAATGTCGGTATTAAATTCGTTAAGGAAGGGAGCGTAGTTTTTGTTTTCTCTTTTTTTATTTTTCCCACGTACTTTCAATCTCATTTTTTGTCTTACAAATTCACACCTGAAGAGGATCTTGAATGAGATTGAACGTACTTTGGAAAATAAAAGAAATGAAAAAAGAAATCACGCCGCCTTCATTAACGAATTTAATATAAACATAAAGAATTTGTTCCGAGAATTCGAGAGTGTTCATATAAAAGTAAATAAGCGTAATATGTTCAGAGCATTCAACCAGATGCATGTCTGATAGAACACATAATCTGTTGATCACGTATTATGTGAAACTTGCAGCCATCATGCAGTAATAATTCATGTTAGTATTGTACGTGCCCTCGCTTCCCTGTTTCTTTCTACAAATAAATTCACGGTAACTGCTCCGATGAGATACTTTCGGTGGTTCTCAAACTGCATGAACTTAAATGTGCTACTAGGTTGGCATCTAGGTCCCACCGTTTCACTGTCGAAACGGTTAAATACGGCCGTTTCTTCTACTCCAATATCTTCATGTCTCATACTTCCCGTCGGTGGAACTCTCTTCCTTTTACTTGCTTTCTTCATAGCTATAATCCCTATATATTCAAATGCAATGTCAGTTGATATCTTCATATGCCTTGATCTAATTCCCTGTCCTTCTCTTAATCCTTTCCTCTATCACAGCTCTTTCCTCTTGTTCCCACTCTGTGTAACTCCTTGCGTGCTAGAGGCACTCCCCCCTTGCTTTGGCTAAAATGCTTAAAAACAACTATTTTCTGTACATACACTCTACCCCAGATATTTCAACTTCTTTTTCGATAAATATCACAAATTATAAATAATCTATATATAAATTTTTGTGTGTATGTGCGCGTATGAACAATAATTTCAGTTTTCTTTATATTATTTCTACTTCATTTCAACGCTGATTATAGACAAAAATTATGCACTGGAAGAAAATTTAATGACGATTTCTTTTGGCATATGTTTACCTTAAATTCCTTTACATTGCTCTTTTTAAGAATTTGTATTTTACATCGCATTATTATCTAAAGTTTATCTTTGGTGTTTCTAGGTTAAACTGAAAATATCCACTCGGAAATTAACGAAATCGCTTCAACGACGTTAATAAATACAAATGAAGTTTATAAAAAAACACAGAATTAAAACGTTCAGTATCTTTTCCTTCATTCATAAAAGATAAGCCTCAAGCCAATCAGCAGAAAGTTGGCGATACCTTTGCAAGAATAAAAGTAAAGAAACGGATCCCAAAAGAATTGTTTCTGGAGCTCTAAACAAAGAAGTCCGAATTTGATTCATCGCGTGACATTTGAACGTCAATATACACATGGGCTACAGACGAAAATGCATCATAATTTATTACAGGCAAGAAAAACATCTTTTATGATTGCATATTTTGCTGTTTTGTGAACAGAAAGCAGAAAACATATCAATTCATTTTTATGGAGAACAACAATTTCCATGTTATAAACATTCCTAAACACGTGCTAGCAACTGCAGAAGCTTTGATATAATTTTCAAATAAACTTAACTCGGAAAACCCAAACTCTATGTATTCTTTCAACAAAGGTATAAACTTTATATGCCAACTTGAATATAGAATGGATATAAATTTCATTTGCTTCCACTACAGTGATATATCTCTTGTTCATGTTTTTATTCCTTTTTCAAAGCACTTCTTGGGTCTTTATGATTTTCTACTTTACTGACATCTTCTAATTGCTACTATTAAAACATGCCATATCATTTCAGGATGTAAATGATCACAGATCTCGCCAGGATTTTCTTTCTTTATTATGTAGAAATTACCTTGAATCTATGGAAAGTGTAATGGCCTTGAATTGAGGATTTTCTGCACTACTCGCCAAGTATCTATTAAGAAAGCCCCGTTGCTATTTAACTAAACAAACAGAAAGTTTCATACTTTTTGTAAATATATTTGGCGAAAAGGAACACAAAAATTCATTCCGAAATTTGAACCAGGCTCGCTGATTCCACTCCTCTCACGAATATCATTTTCACAGGTGGAAAGTTAATTAATATCATGGCAGAATGCTTGTCGCACTAACCTTCATCTAACTTCGATAGTCACGGCTTATAATCGATTCTAATCGTCCTCTATGCTTCATTCCTCCTAAAAAACGATAGACTTCATTATGATTTATTTGATTCTACCTTGTACGTTATTAGCGCCAGGGGTTTGGGCACACCGAGGCGGTGTAATGGTTACCAAGCTTGTCTCGCTAGAACAATTTCGCCTGAGTAATGAGTTCAATTCTCACTGGGTCCGGCATACTTTCGGCCTTGTGAAACATCTAAGCTACGCTTGGAAAATCACTATTAGCGCCAGGCGTTTAACTAATTAAATACGAGTTTGGTGAAAGTACATAGACACTAATCCCACAAAATCGAAAAAAAAGCAAATTCCTCAACATTAATTTCAGAGTTGCCGAGTGTTTATGACGTTCATTTTCTGACCATGAAACCAGAGTTCAAATCTCACTATGTTCGTTTTGTCAGAAAATACATCCTCTTTCATATTCCTTACCGACTTTAGATCGCAATGGTTTAAACCAATAGAATCTACTTCAACTGTATGATTTGATACAGGTAATCAGTGATGTTTCTATACGAGGTTCATTAGGGGTTTCGGGTCTTTCAACATCTTTCCCCCTCTCCACAGTGACTCAGCCGATACTGATCGGGTATCAAGTTGCGTACCTTCCGTTAGCTACAATTTTTTCCATCCTCCCGAATACACACTTCGACTCCTCTCCGCAATTTATGGTCCAAACTCGGATGACTTCTGGTTCACCAGAAATATGCGCTCTTCCTTAAAAAGGAAACAAACTCAGCCATAGTTTCTATCTGGTAAAGAACATGCATGTGCACACACGAGAGGAAAAAAACATCAATTAGGAAAAAAAGCAATAGCGAAGAGCAAGGTTTGAACTAGGCCTGCGAACACATCGAAATTAACATGAAAGATGCCATATGCATTTTCACCCCGATGTCCACGCAGAAAAACAACGGAGGGGAGGGAGATATATTAGCGCCTCCATCGAGATGGAAGATACATGTATGTCACATGTTTGTCTTTTATTTTATTCCCTCCAACTAGAAAGAAATGTCTCTTTCCGTCATGCATTATATTTCTTTTTGACGGATTAGATTAAGAACACAATATCCATGCTATAGCCTGACTGAAGGTTCTCAATCTTTAATGATGCTTCTTGACTTTAAACAATAATTTAAACAAAACTTAGGGAATTAAACTCCTAACACTAAAAGAAAGAACAAGATAAAATGTCTATGAAGAGAAAGATTCTGGAAATTCTTAACGGACAGTAACGTTTAACGATCGATCAATGGTGACACAAAGTTTCATTTATCTGACCATTACCATTTCTACAGAAATATCCCAGTAATATGACAAGATTTGTTCAAATAATATAAGGCCTATAATCAATATGGAATAAGGTAAACCTATGAATAATACCAGATTTTTAGAAACCTGTACTTAATACTTCTTTCTAAAGAAATTTGAACTAGACTCGCTGATTCCATCCCGCCGCCGACATCTGTTACACTATCCGAACTTCAATGAAAATCCTGGCAGAGTGTGTTTCATACTTTCTTCCACCTTCAATATTCACGGGTTATAATCGATTCTAATCATCTTCTTTACTTTATTCATCCTAGCAAACGGTAGACTTTAGAATATTCATTTTTATTCCATTCTACCTTGTGAGTTGTTAGCGTCAAAAGTTTTATTGATTAAATGTGAGTTAAACGAAACTAGAGCGACTATAATATCTCCAAATTGATCTCTTGACCCTCGATATTTTTATGAATGCTTCGTTCTGCATTAACTGCATTCCGTATTCTCGTCATTCTAAAAGTTATTCTGTGCTCGATAACTTTTAATAAACGGCGAAAATAATATCAGATATGTGTTAAAAGATTTTTGTTAAATTAAACATTTAATAACATAGTTTTACATAAACACTTACTTTAGAGCAAATGTCAGCATTATAGTTTTTCTGCATGGATTTAAACGATCTACAAGTTTGGCAAGTAGGTCTCGCCGTTTTACTGTTGAAATAAGTAGGTTTCATCACCATTTCCCTTCTGTTCCTTTTCTTGAATTTCTCACCTGTGGAACTCCCATCATATTTCTTTGTTCTCTGCCACCTAACACATTAAAAAACATTAAATGTAACGTCAATCGCCATCTCCTGACTACCTGAAACTTCATTGTCCTTTCCTCACTCCCCGTCACTAAAGTGTTCTCGTTCTCTCACATTCCAAGAAACAACCTGCTTACTAGTGGCATTTCGCCTTGATTGAGATGAAACGATAAAAGAATTATGAACTAGGTTTGTGCCAAAACTGTTGGAATCATGTTCATCATTAGCAGGAAATTATATTTGGCTATTAAATTACACAAACTGTTTATTTGGCTGTCAAATTACCCAAACTGTTCATATGAGCTGCATTCCTAAATCCAATCAATTCATATTTTCACAGGTAAGACACCCCCATGTAACGTACAAAGGGCTTGAACTTTCTTCATTCCCTTCGTATTCTCTTGGTTCAAAGGAAGTTCCACTGAGACAGTTTCTGTACGAGAAGCGCGCGAATTTGCTTTTCCGATCAATACAGTCTTAACAGATTTCCGTCTAGAGTTACTCGTTATCTAATTTATATGACCATCATTTATCCATTCAGCGGATTTCACACTGCTGTGGTCACAAACTCACTTCTCTACCTGTATCTATATGATGTTGCCCTTTACAGTCTCATCCATCGTCATTCCATTAAAGAATATCACAAAGATATAGATTGTCGTCTGTGGTGCAGCTTTGCCTCTACTGCATCCAGTATATATATATATATATATATATATATATATATATATATATATATATATATATATATATATATGCCTTTAAATCTTTTGAGTAACGCAGTGTCGCCTGATTTCTTTGCTTTTTCTATAACAAGACAATTTTTTTTTAAGTGAGAAAGTTGCTGGTTTACTACACAACCACCAATCTATGAATTCAAAGTTGGCCTTTTCTTAGATATTATTAAATGGTAGGTAATGATTGATCTAGATTTGAAAAGAGTTCGATTGTAATATGTATATATACATATATATATGTATATATATATATATATCGTACTTATTATAAAACGCAGATTGTGTGTGTGTTTGTGTCTGTAACGTTTATATGTTGGATCGAATTTCTTACATTTTTTGGCCGATTTCAACAAAACTTCACAGGACTACATAAAATTACCTTGTGGTGGTTCTAACGAGGCCTAGAATGGGGAAAAACACAGTTGTTTTTTAATAAAATCAATTTGAAAACACGATTAAGACACATCGTGAATGGAAGGGGACAACTCACCCACGAAAATGTAAACAAAAGAGCATAGCATGATGAAAAAGACGCCGAACTTGACGAAAACAAAATTTTATCGTCTAATGTTCATATTATTATTATTAAAGAGGAAAAATCAAAAGTATTTTTGGGGGTATTTTTTACATTTTTAATCGTTCCTAGCACGTCTGAAATTTTAGTTAAAAATATTGTTTTTTTGGTCAAAAAAAAGGACAGATAATCATTTTCAATCATTTTTTTCGATTTGATAAAAAAGATTAAAATCTTACTTTGATATTCTTTTAAAAATCAATTATCATTTTTCAAAACTGATTTTAATAAAAACAGAAATTATACTGTTTATTTAAAATATTTTGAACCAAGCTTAACTTAGCTTCTGCGCCGAAAATATGTAATTTGAAAATAAAACAAAGCAGGTCATAACCTTTCGCGTCGCTTGACGATTGACGAAAGGCACATTCATGACGTTTAGATAACTTACGGGAGGAGAATTCTTTCTACGGATGGAAGGAAGTGAAATTATTTAAGTGAACAAATTATTTACCTTGTTACTTTTAAGGAAAACTTTCAGCGCTCTAATTTTTAATTTTTTTTTTTTTTAATTTTTTTTTGTACTTAGCTTTCATTTTTACGTTTACGATGCTTTATGGAAAATATAAAGAAATTAAAAAATAAGACTGTCAATAGTGAGATTAAATTTCATAAGAAAAAGGTATCTAATTAATTTAGGTACGTTTCTTATGAAATTTTATCAGAAGTGTACATAAAATGCTATAATTTTATGTACATTTATTACATTTTACTGTGGTATTTGTATTTCCATTCATTTTATTATTAATTTTGATATTCGATTTATGGAAAAATATCATAACTGAGATTAATATAAAAATAAGATCATATAAATTAAAGTTTAGCAGTAGTAGAATTTCATAAGATGATACTGTTACTTGTAGGTACCTTCTCAGTTGAAATTGAAAACTCAAATTAACTTCTCCATACGTCTTTCGCAAAAGTAAAGGGCTTAACAGCGGAGAACAATGCTGAACTCAAATAATGCAACTAAATTGTATTCTGGTTGGTCTTCCGTACTTGATAATTACTGTCCGACTATGAACACAAAAATTACATTTCTTAATTACCATGGCTAATCTGATTGGTCCAAATTATACAATTTTCAAAGCGCTAGACAATGACAATCTCACACGGACATTTTGAAAGATTGATGTTGCTTTTTAACTAATGTTAAAATATTTTTAAAATTCAATTTAAACATTTTTAAAAAATCTTTTAAAATTAAAGAAATAAGAAATAATTGTATTAAAAATTCAATTTTCATTGAAAATTTTTTTGCTTTCAGAAAATATTGTCCATATTCATAAAAACAAATAAAAACAAATAAAAGCATTTGAAACTAAATAATATATTTCTTTTATTGAGTTTTGTATGTTACAATTCACAGCTGATTTTCAGGTACGTTGGCCAAAAAACAAAACAAAACAAAAAAAACATGATTTGCATTCTTCAAAGCCTTGTCCTTTTAACGATTGTAATCACTAAAACCGATGGTCTCGAATTTCTAGAGTTTTTCATAAAATTAGTTATGGGGGTGTTAATAAATATAAAAAAAATATTTCTGCCATGACTTTAATAAAAATAACAAACATATTTATAATAATTTCGATCATCTGTGAATAGTTTCTGAAAGTTTCATTAACATCTGACAATTATTTTTATTTTTGAAAGATTTTCCAAATTAATGTGTAAATAAAAAAAAAAAAACGCTAAAAATTATCTATGTTATTTACTACCCCTTGTTGCGACAAAGAGAAACAAGGTTTTTAAATCAAAATTTAGAGTATTCTAAAAGATGGTAAAATTTTAAAAATAATTAAAAAAAATTTAGTCTATCCTCTTCATAAAAACATAAGCATTTTGACGATAAAATTTTGTTTTCATAAACTTTGGCGTCTTTTTCATCAGAGTATGCTCTATGTTCTAGCGATTCCGTGGTTGTTTGTTTGTGTGTGTGTGTGTGTGTGTGTGTGTGTGTGTGTGTGTTTATATATGGGATCGGATTTCTTATTTTTTCAGCCGATAAAACAAACATCCACTTTTTTTTTCGGCAGGTAGTATTTCTTATTGTCTTGCACACTTTTTTTTTATTTACATTCAGAATGCTTTAAAAATTCCATTTACAAGACAATTGTTTATATTAAAATTCTATTCACCAATCGATAGACTCATAACGATAGTAAACAATGTTTTGTTTGAATTTGGGTTTGACCAATTCGTAAAAAAAAAAGAAAATAATTAAGACATGCGTGTCCGGCAACTTTAATAACAATAATCTTTGTGAATTTTATTTTTCAGTCTTTATGATGGTCGATACTTGATCTATCTTTTACTGTTACATCTCCGGGCAACGCCGGGCTCTACTGCTAGTATATATATATATATATATATATATATATATATATATATATATATATATATATATATATGTATTGAGGAATCGCAGAGCCGAGTTCGAATTCCACTCGAATCCATTATATTCACTTACGTACTAATACCCTTGGGAAAGGTATGAATCTTCTTCCTCTCCCTCCAGCTATAGGTAAAATAGCAGGAATGACTGTGTTCTATAGCCTTGGATGGCAACTGGTCTAGGAGAAGGACAACTCTGAATTCAAGACCTGTGAAGGTTCGTTTGGGAACCTTGTGGCATACGGTGCACCAGGTCTCTGTATTCGTCCCTTCAAAAAGTGTCGATGATCCTGCACAAAGCCTTCACCACTATAATCAAACCTCATGCCGGTGTCGGGCTGTCGGTTTCCTGAAAACTGATCTGCTTTTACCCTCATACGTCGAATCTCGACGGGAGAGTCGATTATATATATATATATATATATATATATATATATATATATATATATATATATATATATATATATAATGCCTTTAAACTCCTTGAGGAACACAGAGCTGCAAAATATCGTTGCTGGTACTATAACAAGCCAGATTTATTTTTAAGTCAGTAAGTTTTTAGCCTACTGTACAAACCCCAGTTTTTGAATTCAGAGTTGTCCTTCTCTTAGACCAGTTGTCAGCCAAGGCTATATAGAACCCGGTCTGTTCTGCTATTTACCCATAGCTGGGGGAAGAAGAAGAGGATTCATACATTCCCAAGGGTATTAGCACGTAAATGAATGTAATGGATTAGACTGAAATTCCAACTAGGCTATCCGATTCCTTAATCCGAGACGGCATCTATTACTAAACCGTACCTCCTCTTTAGATTGTAATGTAGAGGGTTAATGTTAAAATGTTTATGATGAATGAGGTGTGCGAAATGAATGAAAGAGGAGGTAGCAGATAGTGTGGATGATGAGGATAAGGGAGATTACTAACAATGGACCGTTGACAGTGAAATATAAACGCAGAAGTCTATTACACAAAGTAAAAATCTTTGAGAAATAACTCTGTCAGAGGAAGCGTATGGTGTGTAAATTTCTGATAACACTGATATTGCTGTATGGCGGGGAAGCATGAGAACCTGAATATTAGAGTTCTGGATCAAATAAAACGCAGTAAGCGTTGAATAATTACGTAACTGGACTGTACGAAATTTTGTCGTGTTTGCATCCTTAAGACTGGCGTTACCATATACTGTAAAATCATTGGGAGTTTACCATGCCCTAAACAATGATTCCCTACCGGCATGACTTTCGTCTTAAGTGTGCCCCGAAGTATTGTCACGTCATACATATACGGTATCTGTGTAAGTGGAAGTAATAATTGTTCAACGTTAGTATTTCACAAAATAAGCTTCAAAAATATTTTGACAGAAACATTCAAATAAAGTAAGTTCATACTGGTGTGTGTTCTTTGTTCAAAAAATCTATGGTTTTATTTCTAAATATTTAAAGGTATACCCTTTAAAAATTAGCTAAGTGTGCCGTGATATATTCATCTGATACTAGGTGTGTCCTTGCTTAAAAATATGGAGAAACACAACGCTAAGACTTAATCTATTCCAAGATGATATTCTAATATACCACCTGCTTTTGCTGTACTTATACAAACCTAGGTACCGGGCGCTTCCTGTCTGTACATGGTTTTAATTGTGTAACCACACCCTCCTGTCTAGAAATATCTGCCTGCGTCTCCGCTTGTATGCATCATCCGTTGGTATACTACGTTACTACATTTCACCTCATCTTTCTTTTAAGGTATGTCCTTCGCAAATGTTTGAGTTTTCTCAAAAAAAAATCCATCTATAAAATCTTCTTGTATGGTTGTTACTCGGGGTTGAATTGTTTCAATGTTTTAGATATTCAGTAAATTTCCTATGGGCGTATTCTCTTTCAAATAGTATGGCATTGTTCACAAATCTCATAATCAAACATAAACAGGGATGAAGCGTAAGAGCTTGATTCAGCTGCAAGTGCAAACGCAGGAACACCCCATCTTTCTACGTACGTTTCCTGTAAAGCTGGGATTGATACAAGGTCCTTCGGGAATATTTTATCCATTTTGGCGCTTCAATAATATTTTTCAAACAATCTTTTATTAAAGGTTGTTCGAATGCCAATTTAGAATGGAATCATATGAAGAATCAATTGGTTAAATTGCAAAAGCCGATTTGGGACCAAGTTTGTTTCAGATTCTGTCCGCTTAAATGAAAGATTCTAAACGAAACATTGACGCAAGACAATTTGTGTGCCATATGCAATTTACTTGACAACTTTGGAAAGAATTGAATGAAAAACCATGGTTTTATGGCCGAAAAACGAGCTTTTTGAACAGTTTTTACTGTTTTTTTCGTTATACGCGGCAAAGCGAGAAAGACTAAAACCATCTTAAAACTAAAATTAAAACCATCTACAACTATCGTATTGCTTGCATGAGAATAAGTTTTCTGCGACATGTTTGAAGAAAATCGGAAAAAATGAGGAAGTTATTCATTTTTTAATTTTATGTTGTAAGAAAAACTCGAAGTTTTTGCAATTTTCGAGTGAAGTCAATGTCACATGAAAACTACGTAACATGAGCTATTTTTTGCACTAAGTGCAAAGCACATCAGCTTATCCAATAAAAATATTGATCCCATGTAATTTGCCTGGACTTTTGCAAAAATTTGTACCTACCTTCTGCTTTATCGATTTTTCTATCAAGCCAAGTTGTCCTGGAGATTGAAAAGTTGGTCTTGACATAGCGTAGTAAATTTGCCACATGTTTAAAAATTAATATTAAAAATCTCTTTGAATTAATGCAGTTAATGATACAACAGATATAGTCTGTATTTATTCAATCGAAGTTAGCCGAGGACAGGAAGGGATAAAACAGGCCACCCGAAGACCCACTTCAGACCACAATTATTTTGAAGTTATTGAAATTGAATTCGTCAGTGAGCTATCAAGGATGTAAAAGAGGATACATTTATAAAGCGATTAATATGTCTAATGAAATTGGTTGAAAGATCACCGAAAGAAAAAGAAAGAAACAAGAAAAAATCGCTTTCTCGATTATTGATTTTTTTTTAAATGGATTGTTTACACTAAGAACCTATTTTTTACATAGTATAATGTATGTGCCAAGTTTGGTCAAAATTGGTTAGATGGATCTCGAGTGAAGAGGTATCACACTGACAGACAGACATTCTCTGTTTCATATAGAGAGTTTTGAAATATGGATGATTTCATTATTGACCTAATTGCCGTCATCTTTATAGTTGTTGTCACAACATTTAGGCCTTCATCAGGTGTACATCGACCGGGTACTGGAAAGAGATTTCCGAATTGTATCCGGGTAGACAAATGAGGAAGGCCGTAGAGTACAACGACTGAAACTTTGTGATAACAAAATCAAAGATGAGAACAATAGTTCGAATATAATTAGTATGAATAATGATAACTTTTCATCGCATAACTCCAGAAAGAAATGGCTAATTTCGCTCAATAAATTTTAAATGAAGCTATCCCATCCCGTGGGATAAATTTTTATACTTATTGATAATTTTCAAGGCGTCTACATAAATTATTGTCCCCAGTGATTTTCCAAGCGTAGCTTAGATGTGGCACAAGACCGAATGTGCGAATCGAACTCAGTACGCAGTCGTAATTTTTCTAGAGAGACAAGCTCGCTAACTATTACACTGCCACGAGGTGCCTGCATTGTCTCTATATAGTATTCACTGGTTTATTCATCCGAGGTAATGACAGAGTAAGAAAGAATTGGTAAATGACCTTATATAGAAAAGGAATTAAACGCGTACTAATCGAATATTATAGGGTATTTCGTCACTATATTTTGTGAGCAGTAATTTTTCCCAGTTTGAAAGCTGAAGACAAAATATGTAATTCAAATATTACGGCACAAAATAGCTTTTAGGATAAGTAATTATTTTTCCTGATCATTTTGAGGTATTTTGTAAAGACGATTCCTTCTACTTTCTTATTCTATATTTTTCTGCTAAAATATATATTTTTTATTAAGTGCAAATTTGAACTATATGCAGTATACCATCATAAATATTTGGAAGTCTATGTCCAGGAGATAAATAAAAGAAAATACAATCACCGTCATTTTCAAATAAAACGTTTTACCTACATTTTTTTGTTAAATAATGTATGCGAGGCTGGAGGTTATCATATTAGCTGTAGCTAAGACATTAAAGCAAACATTAAATACATTCCTGCTTTTTCTTTAAATCTATTTACATCTTTATCTCGTCGTCCGTTCTGGAATAACTACTTACTTTACACATCTATAGGCCACACTCTCGACTCCCATACGTAATTTTCTTTTGCATTGTTTTTATCTCTTATTTTCATTCCTTCTGAGTTCAATTTCATTCTTGGATATTCTTTAGTAAACTATTCCGATGATTTTTTCTTTTTTCATCTTATTCATAATTTTCAGAATTCTTCTTTTTCTTCTCTTGATCTCTTTCATTTAACGCCGATTTCTCCATCATTTTCTTTGTTTTCTTTTTTCTTTTACACCAGATTTCTCTTTTACCATTCCTTTGACTTTTATTACAATTTACCCTTTCTCTTTATTCTTCTTTCTTTCTTTCTTTCTTTCTTCTTCTTCTTCTTTCTCTACCTTTCTTTTTCTTTTTTTTTCTTATTCTTTGTCATTCTTTTCTTGTTTTTGTTCTTCTTGTTCATTTTCTTTCTTTCTTTTTCGTCTTTTTCTTTCTTCTTTTTCTTTCTCTGCCTTTCTTTTTCTTCTTTTTCTTTGTCATTCCTTTCTTGTTTTTGTTCTTCTTGTTTTCATTTTCTTTCTTTCTTTCTTTCTTCTTATTCGTCTTTGTCTTTCTTTCTTCTTTTTCTTTTTCTTTTTCTTCCTTTTTCTTTGTCATTCTTTTATTGTTTTTGTTCTTCTTGTTTCATTTCTTTCTTTCTTTTCTTTCTTTGTCTTTTTCGATATAAATTTTACTCTTTCGTTTCTTTCAGTGTCTTCCGATTAAATTATAACAATTGCAACATATTTTCGTCTGATTCTTGCTCAATTTCCTTCCCCAATCTTCTCTTTAACACACCTTACCACTTAACCTGTTAAATCCTCCGTTTTTCCTCTTGCCCAGTCAGATGCTTTACCTCCCTCTTCTCATTTCTCTTCCTTTTTCAATTTTCTCCTCTTTACCGATGCCAAGGCAAAGATATTCAATAAAAGTGGAAACGCCAATTCTAATCGAGAGTCGGCAGGAAATGCGCTCTTGAGGGACAGCTGAGTCAGTGGAAATGTATTCCAAACACATTACTCTCCTAAAATTAAATCTTTTCCATTGAATGATTTCCGTCTGCCCGTGAGCAACTCGGGCCCAAGAATACCCCCAAGAACAACAATAATAATAAATATAATACGAAGAATATTAGTCAAATTATTATTATTAGAAGTAGTAGCAATAATAATAATGATAATGATGTGCTACCTACTGGAAATGTTGAATAGAGATTATAATAAATTTATTGCTATAACATTAATAATAATAATAATAATAATAATAATAATAATAACATATGTATTGGCTTAATAATAATAATAATAATAATAATAATAATAATAACAACAACTAAACAATAATAAAAATAATAATAATAAACAAAATGAATGACGTAACTCTTCCAATATTTTTCAACAGATAAGAGGAGGACGCGATTTAAGAAAAAATAAAGAAAACAAAACAAAACAATATTTGACAATGTTAATATTTCAAGAGAATTTCTTCCTTCTTCAGTTATATTTAAACAATTTTTTGAAGTATAAATATATATAAATCTACAAAAAGTTTCTTTCTATATTTCTGAGATGAGGTATTATGTACACTATTCATATTATTCGGACTATTGTCCTCATCTTTGTCGCCATATTTATTTACAAAGTAAAACATGATTGCTGAAGACATTGGGTTTATAGTACCCCGAAATTCATACACAGATATCCTGAAGGACACATGGTACAGTGGATAAAGTTGGTTAGATCAGTGACAGGACCCAATTACTGTGAGTTCAATACCCGGTTAAGGCAGGGGAGAACTTGCAGAGCTGAATTAACGTTGTAATAAATATATATAATATATTTCCTGAAGAAACGTTGTAATAAATATATGTAATATAATATTCCGAATAATGTAAATAGTTTACAAAAAGTTTAAGTCTTTGTAGAAACGTAAAAGGTAAAAAGTCTTGTAATGAAAAACGCCCCCCGTATGAAGGCATACAACTGAATGGTGATTCATCATTAGTTACTAAGAGGAATTAATCAAACGGCTTAGTATAAATCTTATGGAACTCTCCTGTCATTCTGTTCATACAACCTGGCCGGGAAGTTAATAATTTGCTTACGTTCTAAGAGTCGGTAGATATTGTATATTATTTTTAGAATGTACACCTTAAGATGTTTGTCGAAATTAATAAAATGTTCTGCAAGCTCAGTAGATGTGACATTATTGTGTCCGACATCATACCTGTGGCCATTGAATCTTTCATTTAATTTTTTCTGTTGTGCAACCCACATAAATGAAGTCATGTTAGGTAGATCAGGCGGAGTATATTAAATGGGAATTAGTAGAAAATTACCATCCACTGTAGAAATCGTGATATTTCTCTTGAATTTGGGATAAAATTTACTCGTCTCATGTTGCTGCAGAACGCAATGATTTTTCCTCTTCTACCAGTGTTTTCTAGAGTAAAACGATCCAAAACTCCAATGTTGTTTTGAGTATCTAAGCTTACCTTTGTTAACATTTGTCCGATGTTTTTATTCATTTGAATGAAACTACAGGCGTGTTGGGAAATATTTGTTTAAAACGTGGATATTTTTGTGCAAGGTGCCCATAGCTGTTGTGTAATATTTTCAAAATTCCAAGAAAATTTCCGTGCCAATTTGATGACAATTGGGATTCTGTCGGAATTTTTATTGTGTTTTTCTGTTTTGCCCTGGTAAAAAACTATGGTAATCTTCATTTTTAGCGATTTTATTCGCAATTTGTTTCAGTCGCGATTCTTAACAGCCGCGCTTAACATAATGCCGAATGGAATTATTAGCATGCTTTCAATAATCTTTTATCTACCAGTAAATTCGCCTTATGCGTAAAAATTAGCACTTCCGTTTTGATTTTATCGTATGATAAGATGCTTAGAAGTGTTGTGTAGTTAAATGTATGATAGATGTATGATAAAGTAGGCTTGCAAAATAATTCAGTCATCAGTCGATTCTATGAGTACTTTACTTTAGTGTCTAAAAATTCAAAACTAGCTTTGTGAAAACTAGATTCAAAATGTATTTGAGATCGAAAATTATTCTTTTGTGCAAAAGTATGACAAAATTGTAGAAAGTTTAACAATATTTCCTTAGTACCTTCCAAGACAAATAAAATATCATCAATAAATTGCAGTCAATGTTCTGGTTTGCAGCCCTGCTGTGATTTGAAATCTTCAAGAATTATTTCTTCTAAATTATTTCATAAAGACATTCGCAAAGATAGACGCCATGGAGATCCTCACTGAACATCCTTTAAATTTGGTGGAACAAAAAAAACTTTTTTACAAAACTTCATCATGTTGCTTTCCATGACGAAACGTACAAGTCCTCAGAGAAAGTCTCATGGAATGGTTTTGTTTTTGCGTTTCTCAAATGCTTTGTTGCATGCCACAATCCCTTCACACTGATCAGTATTTGGATAAAGAGACGAGACATCTATAGTGACCAAAATCAATCGTAAAAATCATTTTTTCTTCTGAAAATAGAAATAAAATCAAATGTGTTCCAGACATAAGACGAAGACCGTTTTGCTATAGTAAAAAAATATAGCCACTCACAGATTTTTGCCGTACGGAATTCATATTCACCACAAATCGGGCGTAGTGGAGTAAATTTATTTATATTTTTATTTATTTCTGGAAAGCCGTAAAACAATGGTGTTTTTTTCCTTCGAACATAATATATTAAACTCTGTTACATTGATATAACTATTCCCTTTCATTTCAGAAATTATCTTGTCTAGCTTTTTCTGTAATAATGGTTGAGACTATTTTTATTTCTTCATAAAAAACTTTTATCCCTTAAAACTTTTTCAGAAGTCGAAATATAGTCTTCCTTATTCATAATAACAATAGCGACTCTTTTGTTTGCCATTTTTATGACAATCGAATCTTCAATGGCGAGACGACGAAGAGTATTACGTTGCAAATTTGCAAGATTTTTCCAGGTTTTGTTATGGTTTGATTTTATGTTTTCCTTTATGACAGATTTTCAAAAATTCTATTAACGACTCTGAGCGTCCCTCACGGACTATTTCTGGATACCCAATTATGTAAGACTATCACTATCTTCGTCTTCGATTAGATTTGTTTAAGAATATTCACCATTGTTGCTTTCGAAAAATATTCTATCAGCTTGTGACGACGGAAAAATTCAAACACACTTTTGTCAAAAGTTCTTGTACTTGGGCAAAAATTCAACCCAAGCTCTGAAACAAATTTCATCTCGAGAAAGCTTTAAATTTGATAGATTTAATACAACTTTATTTTCCAGTGTGTTCGAAATTTTAGAGGGAGTATTCGTATTGTAATTGTATTTTCTTGAAAGATGTTGTGTCGAGCTTCACGGACATTTGATACTCTTCAGTGAGTACATGGAAAAAGAAGAGACACGCAGCGTTGTTATTAAGTGTTTTTACTTTTTCACCCGTCTAGCACAAGTTTCGCCTGACAAATTTTGAACTCTTTCGAAGAACTGAATTCATGTTAAGTCTTTTTTTTTTAATTTGTAATTTGTGAAACTTATTCGCACTTTTTCTTTCTCAGTTTTTTTCTTTCTTTTTTTTTTATTTTCCACATGTGACTTTAATTTTTACCCACGCCTTATTATAATGCGTAAACATTCTCCGTCTTTATTATTTTTGTAAGCTTTATTTTTACCCTCGCCGCACTTTAATTCATTTTAATATTTTCTTTTTGTTTAAAATTTTATTTAAATTATACTTTTATTTTACTCGTGTGATTTGTTTGTTTTGCATTTTAGCAAGCCAAGTCCTAATAACCCTCCATTGTTTCGTTGCTTGTAAACTATTTTCTTTCTTTTCAAGTTGGTTTAAGAAATGTCAGGAGACCCATGAGTCTCCGATGTACCCCTTTACTCATTTTGAAAGCTTTATTGTTGTTGAATGTGTGTGTGTTTTGTGTGTGTTACCTTTTAATTTTTTATGATCGTGTGTAGTGCATGTATGTTTATATATGTGTGTGTGTTTGTGAGTGTGTGTCTTGGAGACCTCATCACGTCTGTGTGTATGTCTGTCTGGTGTGTTTGAAGGTGAGGGGTTAGAGGAGTCAGCTTGAGCCCTTCATGGGTGGTGTCATATTCTATGTAGTAGCAATAGGGTATATACAACACTATAGAGATTATAATGTTAGATAGAAATATGGGTTTATATGTTAAATCTATCAGTGCTGTTTAGTTTTTTTGTTTAATACGTCTGGACAAAGTGATGTGAGGCGGAAAATCAACGTGTCTTCATGTTTTTGTAGTATTTTCCAAACTTTGTCGTTTGTGTTTATTTCTATTCTTTCAATAATAGTGAATTTGGATCGCTATTAAGATAATGACTTTCTAGGCGGAAATGTTGACTACAGCTAATAAACTTAATCCGATTCTGATAAGTATAAATTATGTCGTGAAATGACCATTGAAATATTCAGACAAATTTTTACTGGCATAATGTGCATTCTAATAAGTAAAATATGTGACGACTTTTACAGTTAGAGGTGTGATATATTTTTAATGCAGTTTTAATGAGCATGATAGTCAATGAATTGGTGTGTTTAATGTTGTTAAAACATAGGCTCATTTTGTAGTTACATAGTTGGAAAAAAACCCATTGTTGTTATTCTTGGTCTATTTCGTGTTATTTTGTTGCCTGAAATTTTGTTGCCACTGATGATTTCCTTAAGGTTCTTTGGTCTACGA